CTGGAGGGACCAAGCTTTGTTTAAGGTATTCAATAGAGAGATAAGATAAGTTCCTAGGAAGGAAATGTAGATCGGAGTTCACGGTGATCTGCTATGTTTGTGGCCTATTTATACAGGGGCACGCAACTTGAATGGTAAAAGTTCTTCGACGATTATTCACGGATGATGCTTCCTCAACGGGAAAAATTCTTGAGCTACTGTCTCTAGACACGCGTCTGCAAAGAGGACTACGGTAACTACAGGTGACTATGAGTGACTATACGGTTAAAATGATTGCGCTACTCTATGTAGATATGTGTTTTCAAAGAATCGAAGAGGACTATAGTGACTATAAGTGATTATAAATGACTATAAGGGACTATAAGTGACTATAAGTGACTATAAATGACTATAAGTGACTATAAATGACTATAAATGACTATAAGTGACTATAAGCGACTATATGATTAAAATGATCGAGTTATTCTTTGTAGATATGTGTTTTCAGAGATTCCAGGACGACTATAGTAACTATAAGTGACTACACGTGATACAATTGAACTTGTATTCGTCCGTAATACCGAAACTTACTGTAGTCACGCAATTTGAGGGCAAACTGCATACTAATGGTAACTATAATCATTCAATATTGAGTGTCCTATGCATACTAAAGACGATTATAGTCAACCATAGACAATGTGTTCTCAGTATCACATTAATCAACACCTCCGTCGCTAATCTCTTCGTCCACTTTGTTCAATAAAAAATCTATTACTCGGACATGTATTTATCCGCAATTCTCTGCATACTAATACCCCGTGGACACCCTGCATGGCACTATTTTCACCATTTTTGCACGCGTGGTGGCAAAATCCAATTATTACGCTAGCAACACGCGAGTAAACTAAATATTTTACAAATATTAACATTAATACGAACGTGGTAAATATTTTATTTACCTACTGAGATCTCGCGTAACTAAAATTACATGCCCCTATTTTCCACATTTGCCACATCCAAATTTGCAATTATTCGTAATCACCCAACAACGAAGCTAGTTCAAATAATTTGTAAATGTAGATTCGAGCGTAAATTGTTCGAATTAGAAATAGGATATCGGCGTTTAAACTCGTCACCCGTCAGATGGGGTTGACAAATTGGGTCCACGAATGGTACCATGTTCCCCGATTTAAACCCAGTCACCAGTCGCTCGAAGCTGACCGAGCCTCTCGCCATGGAGCAACCCCGTCTTTGCCTCTGGCTGCACCCTTTTTTCTAGAAATTCCGCCCCGAGGAAAAGCGGTTAATGCCGTTTCCTTTAAAAGACTGCAGAGTGAGGGAATTTTTCAATTAGCTTCGTTCGGTGGCTGCTGGTTAACTGGATGACAAAGCTAGGGACGACAGAGCCAGGAGCGAGTCACTGGAGAACCTCCTTTCGAGTCTGCGTGATTAAAATTAGTTCAGTTATCCTGGCAATGACTCGGAACAACGTCAACGATAGGCCAATTTTCGTCATCATTTCGCAACAAGAATCAGTTTTGATTGCGAGGGATTATCGTTCGAGTGTGTGCTTACTTTGCACTTAACTGGAGTATCATAAGAATATAATCGATTTTACAGAGATTCGTGAATTTAGAACGTAATTTTTGATACCATTTTATCGTAATAAATTAATTCCTTTGAATAAATGGTATAGTGGTAGTTTGAAGAAAATTTTTTTCCATGAAAATTCGCATGACAAAGGTATTTCTAGGAAATATTATTATTTATAACAGGTATTAGAAGAGATATTCGAAAATTGCAGTCTAAATGACGTTCCTGGTATTTTTCAGACTCGTTGCTAAACGCTTGGTAATAAATTTTGGTACTAAGTTCTTCAGTTCACTCAGCCCTGGAACAATCGGAGCTTTTACTGTCTCTCAATAGAAGCTGACGTGTCATGAAGCTAAAACGACAGACGAAGCTCATAAATCTTGCAACGTGCATCTACAGACTACAGAGGAAAGTTAGAGAAACGTCCAAAATGCGCTCATTGATGTTTCCTCCAGGTGTTTCTCCAGCAGAAACTCTTTCGAGGACCCTTGATGGGGGGTCTGGAATAGTTTGGAGACTAAATAGCCATGTCTAAACCTCCTGCTTGCACTCCTATCTCGAGACTACAACTTTACGTCACATTGTCTAACGGGTAACGATCGAAAAATTATCAATTTTTCCACGGAATTGTACAAAGTTAGACACGAACTATCAGTCAAAATTTATATCTCATAGCTTCATTAAAATCGTAAATCTGAACAAAAATTAAGAAACACTTAATTATTAAATAAATACACCAATGTTTCAAAAGTCGACTACTCGAAAACAGTAGAATCCCAAAATCTTGTAGGATTCCAAATTTAAAATTTGTCAAGAACAGGACTAGTGATCTAAACACCCCATATATACCTACAACTCTCCGCAAAAATATATATCTGCGGGGCTTGTCTACTTTTCCGTTTTAACCACTTGCGCTGGAAAGACGTGTCAGGCACGTCGTAATGCAGTTGTCGCAGAATCGCCGACGACGTGGTGTACACGTTGTCAGGCAGTTGTCACAAAAACACTGGACCGTTCTGGCACACGCGTCTGTGAATTTCTTGTCAGCGCAAGCGGTTAACGCATCTTCTTTGATCAGATATCGACTACGAAGGACGAAAGGGAAAGGAAGGGGATGCATTTCGTCCTGGGCCTGTTAGCTGACCCTTCGGTAAGGCTACCTAGCAGGCCCCTAGCAGCCTCGCACGAGGGTTACTATTGACAGGTGAAGAATTTGCATGTATAGAAAGTATAGGGTTCACCGAGGAATCTGAAACCTCCGTGCTTCCCCCTGGTGGCGAATACGTGAACAAATCCAACTAAAATTCTTCAGAAAGCAGAAGTGCATAGACCCTAAGACCTTCAAAAGTGAAAGGAAGATCTGTCTCACTCTACGTCGTACTGAAAGCCTCCTGCGATTCACCAAGATGGCGCAATATGTCCAAACATAACCTACAAATGCTTCGCAATTGGTTAACCAGGTTGGCCAGTCTTGGTCAGTTCTAGACACAGACACGTCAAAGTGCCTACCTACACCAAGAAACGAGTATTATTCGGCTGTAATCGAACAGCCTCTCGAAATCTCCGGTTTTATTACGCGCGTTCGCCGGACGATGAAACATTTTCGTCGAATTCGATTTTTCCCGGAACGTTGACACGCGCTGCGAATATTAAACGTGCCATCGACGGGCTTCCGGCGGCGAAACGGTGGATAGGGAACAGAGGGTCTTGGAATAATCGGGACGCCCGGAGTCGAAGGCTGCATAGGTCGAATGGCGACAAATGAAGGAAAGATAAATAGCGGGGCATTTGTCGCGGGACGAACAACCATAGCCCATTAAAAATTCAATCTACACAATGGCAGTTTTCCGATCCTTCCTATGAATAATCGACGATTCGACTGCGTTGGTCGGTGGAACTGCGGAGGGCCTGGGTCCCGTATCTGATACACGTTCTATTACAGATTATCGACTTCGTGCTCCTACGTGACTTGATTAATCGTCCGGCCTGTATATTTAATTCCTTGGCGCGCAATCGATAGTGATTCGCGTCGCCGGCACCGGAACAATTATCCGTGAAGCAATACTCGAACGTACGTGCTATGAATTTCCGAGTTGACGGCCGATTTGAATGGAACGGTTCGATCTGTCCCAAGGAGATCGTTGTTGCCGGAGTTCACGTGGAACGTGCCTCAGCTCAAATGAGCCCCGTGTTCCCGAAATTGAAAACGAGCTCCTCCGACGTTCCCATGCAGATACCGAGAACGTTTTAGGGTAAAAAGTTCTTCCGAGTTGGGCCAAAGTGATTCCTTCAGCGGCTCAAACGAACAGCCCACACCAATTTTGAGACACCTCCGAAGTACTTCGATCTCGTTGAAATTCAATTTTATTGCAAATTTTGGGAAATACCTGGATACCTCAAAACACTCAAAATACTCAAAATTTATTGGAACAATCGTATCATTCGATATATCCAAAGTATGGAGAATTCTCAAACCACTGGAAACGATAAAGGGGTTCAAAATATCGAAATTACTTAAAATTTGTTAGAGCTCTCATAGGTATGGAACTTAAAACACTTAACCTAATCGGAATTTTGTGCTCATATTATCAAACACGCTCAAAATGTCAAAAATTCGCTGCTCACTCTAACTGTCATAATGACTCAAAATATTCGAACTGCAAAAAATTCGTCTAATCACTCGTGCAACTCAAAACACTGGAAAAACTCGACTCCTCGAGCAACAGAAGCTCAAAGCGCTCAAAGATCTCAAAATTGCTCAAAGAAAGCTCAAACTCGCTCAAGTCTGTCTAACAATGCTTGAACCGTCAAACCATCTCTCTAATCGAATCAACTAACCTTCGCAACGCGCGTGCATCGGGCTCAAATGAGCCTGACGAACATCAAAGGCACGCGGGACGTAAAATGGAGGGCAGAACGAAGCCCGGAATCAGCACGATTGCCGGCGTAACCGACACGGATAGCAGTCAGTGAAATCGTGCAGCATCACGCGACCGGCCGCTCAAACTTCGCTGTACCGCGCGATACGGAGTCGATGCCCAACTTATTTCCCGCATTAATTGGTTTATGGATCAGCCGGGCGCGGCGGAGCACGTGCCTGAACCGGGCCGCGGTGGTGGGGGGTACAGCGTGATCGACGAAGGCAATGAGCGAGTGCAGCGCCAGCGTGGGGGCAGGCGAAACAGAAAGAAAGCGCGTTCAAGCAAAACAAGAAACACGCGGGCGACAAGAGGGAACGAGAAGAGAGCGTTGGGGAATGGGTGAGCGAAGGGCGAGGTAAGGAGCGGAGAGAGAGCGAGCGAGCGAAAGGGCGCGCGCGACAGAGAGGGCACGACGATCCAGAGTGGAGGAGCATGCGCGGGTGGGAGTGGCACCTTATTCGTCGTGCAGCTCCCGCCAAGGCTTTCTGTCAACTACGAACTCTCGGACGGAAAAGGTACCCGGCGCCTGTCAACGTTCCGCGACGCGTACGATCGCACCGCGTCCCGTCTAATCCAACAACGGTTCCACGGTGAAACGTGCCATCGACGATGTGACACCCCGCCGGGACTAGTTCGACGTGTATTCACTTCCCGTGGGCTGTCCTGGAGAACGCGATCCGGTCGGCGGACGAGCCTGTTTATAACACCGTCGCGTCCCGTCCACGCAACAACCTGCTCCCGAGTGTGACGAGTGTTGACACGTCGTTGTCAATGTCGGCCGATCGTATATAGGAATATTCGCCGTCTCGCGATCATCGCACCTGTCGAAGAGTCGCCTATCAGAGTGATCGGATGAGTCGAGTGCGTTAGGGGTTAGTGAGACCGAGTGTGTCCCGGTGGATCGTATCGATCGAGGGATCAGGCGTGTGCAGGAGGTAGCGACAATTAAGGATATCGCCGGGTAGGCAGTGTCACGTGGTGTGCGGGCTAAGTGGCACGTGGCTGTGTCGTTTGAACGCGTTTCAGAGCGACGCAGGAAGTGTCCGGACCTCTTGGAGGAACTTGTCGGAAGTCACGGTGACGGCTGATAGGATTGGCAGACCAAGTGTGCGCGCAGCGTTGACAAGGGGAGTGAAACGGGGTCGGCATTGTAATCCGCGTTGCGTAGGAATTGGAAACGCTATTAATTTACCTGGAATCCTATCAGGGGGCTGGAAGTTTTCTAATTGGATGACTAACGAGTCAGAGGTAGGAGTGAGAAGCTGAAGACGCGTACCGGAACTGCATCAGCGTTGAATAACGCGTGTCTTTGAGGAGGACACTCCCACCAGTGGATAATTAATCTGGATACTAATTAGTCGCGTGCCAAAGAGACAAACGCGAACGGCTGGCTGGCTGGTTCGACGGATTTGCTGATTAAACTCGCCACCGGACGACCCGGTAGGATCCGGATGAAAGGGCGGGCTAATGAGACCGGGGAGACGCCTCGAAAGCTTCTCGTAAGAACGCGATACTGGAAGAACGGGCTCTGCGGCTCGAAAGTACCTTGAAGATTGCCAATTTCCATTGGGAGATGATAGCAGGAAGATGTGGGTCGCTTTAATTCACGGAACATATCCGGTTTTCTTAACCTAGTCGAAGGTCTGGCTCTCAACAAGAAAGAGATTCGCGAGTGTCTTCGCAGTGCACCCGATTGACCAGGATATCCGTGACTCGGGGATTCTAAAGGTCCACGAGTTCCATTGTGAGAATATCAAAAGTGATCACAGTGATCTAGGTGTCTGTACATTCGTCTATCCCAGATTGGATTATCAGAAACCCCCAAGAGCCCAACGAGACCCGTGACCCGAGGATACAAAGTGATAGTCCTGATATCGAAACCTATCGTGACCTATTTGGACCCTATTTGGACCTGTCTCTGACCAGAGGATCGATCGATCCGAATTTCTTAATTGACAAACAGTCGCCTCTAACTTCCTCTAACTTTACTTCAGGATATAGAACTAAGATCCGTGATCTAGGACTGAAATCAAAGCCCGGAGGATCTCTATCATGGAATAAAGAACGCGGAAGGTCAGGATACACCCGGAACGGTCTCGCATTTCCTCACCTGGATCCAAACGATCCCGGTGTCCCCGCCCATCGAACGATTCAACGTTCGAGCATACCACGAATTGGTGGAAGAAATTCCACAAAGTCTTTGGAGTTACGGGGACGAGGAAGAGCCGGGGATAAAACGAGGAAGGCACCTCGGTAATCCAGCGTGGTGGAAACTCGCCAACTGTTAAAGAGCCAGCGTCCTGGATAGAGGCTATCCAGGTGTCCCAATCCGTTGGATTAACAGTCGCAGGGTGCAAATTACACGGCGTGAGAGGTTCCCTCGAGGGACGATCGGTCTGCGCGGAGACATTTCTCAGATGTCGAGCGAACGATGAAGCACTCGAGGCGAGCGAGTGGCTCGAGTGCCACTTCGATCGCGAGCGATTTGTGCTGCAGGTGCACGGGAAAGTGTCCGACGAAAATGTGGCTCGCGCTACTGCTCCTCTGCTCTCTCTTCGGAACAGGTGAGAAAACGCTTCTTCTCTTCACGTTTACTTAACCCTACCACGACCCCTCAATTCCCTCCAAGGGATCATCCCAGTTTTGAGCATCTATCGCGTGTAAAGGGCTAGAACGTTAGCTCGAGTTTAAGGACCTAGGTCCTGGATGGGTCAGAGACGTGGTCTATCAGCGAGTTAGGTCTCGCAGTAGTTCGGATGCGAAAAGACATTATCCCGAGTGTAACTCTAGGTGTTCTCCGTTAATTGTTTTCCTCGGGACATAAAGGGAGACTGGTAGGGGGAAATTAACAGGACAAATTCGTCAGGGGTGGAAATTTCCGTTCCTCCTTAACGCTTTAATCCCCGATTCCCGGGCCGGGAATTTAATCTTCGCCCGGGATAATTGAAACTTTTTCACGGGTTTTCGCCTGCTGTTTACGCATCTAGCAGGCGAGCCGAACCGGCCAGCAAATTGAATCGCGTTTTTCGCTCAGACTTCAGCTTTGAGCGCTTAATTGCCGCGACGTCGGTCTACCGGTTTTCTAGGTATAAGCCGGCCGTCGCGTTCCTTTACAGCGAAATTATTTTGGGTCCATTTCGGTCCCCCTCTTTGCCAAATTTCCTCGTTCCATTGGGGAATGCCTGTGCCGGGGGATGAAAGTTATTAACGAATATAGGCACAGGGATGATTCACGGGACAAGACTCTTCCATTTGGCCAGCCATCTGTCGGGTTCTATACAGGGTGGTTTTCAGCCATTGGTCAGGACTTTGAGGATAAAAGTGTTGCGACTGGAGGTATGCAAAATGGCTGAACTTCCATATTTTTCGATTCGCATATTTCTGTTTGACAGCTGCACGTTGTGGATTTAAATAAAAAAATAGACAAAGATTTTGAATGGGCACAGGATATACACACGTATCAGGGAGACTTGACAGCAACTTGACTATTGGGTTTTGATTTTTAGTCTCCGATTTTTTTATTTCCTTTTTTATCGAAGGTTGAGATCTGAATATTTTCTCGTTGCGATATTTTCGATTTTTCAATTCCGACCGTTGGATCCTAAATAAGAAGGTAGCGGAAAATTGGAAACGAGAAAGAGAATAGGTATTAGATTATTCCACAAGTGATTTGTCCATTGGATTTTTATTTCAAGTCTCGAATTGCATCATTTCGTTAGCAAATTCGTTAAAATGGGAAATTCGAAGATTGGTATAACATAATGGATAAAGTTATAGTGATCCATGATTCGAAATAAATTGCTTCGCTTTCGCTCCTTCGAGGGGGGGAAAAATACTCGATATTGCTCACGGGATGAGCATGCTATTCGGTGTCAAAGGAACGGGCACGAAATTCAGGTGAATTCGTTTAATTCCGACGAATTTCAATGAAAGATTGCATTACAATGGGTCAAAGAAAACCACTTTTCGCCGACGTACAGTCAGAGAAATTGTCAATTATCAATGAGTTGAGCAAATGTTCATCAAGTTCATTAGCGTTTGTCGGTGGGCTGCATTCGAGTTTAATTAAATATGCGTCAAAGTGATATTTTGACGTGGAAATTGACACAGGCTCCGTCACCTGAAGGTCCATCGCGATAGCATCGATGCTAAGGGCGTGTTCGCTTCCAATTCCATGACAATATTTGGTCGTGAATTGCGTTGTTCCGATGGATGACAATCTGTCTCCCCTGTATGTTCGCTTACGCAGACACTCGTATCGAGATTTTTTCTCTTTTCGTATTTTTTACCCTTTATTTTTGTTTTTGTTTTACCTCCGAAGCTTGATATTTATTTACAAAAACATTCCGAGCATAGCTACGAATTTTTCGTGTAAAGAGAGACTCTCGAAGAGACATTTATCGAACGGATCAATGGATATTACGCTATGTTCGAACAGCGATACGTTTATTTATGCTTCGAATATAAATTAAAACTAAAACTACGGACAAGTAGTAAATGCTTAAATATCCGGAACCTAGATGACGGTAATTGAAGTGTTACGATGAAAATAATTAACTGCGAAACTATATTTTCATTTAAAAATCAAATCAATGATAACATTGCCAAGAGCAATTGCTCATTTGAAATAACTACACCAGTATCCTCCATTGCATCATTGCCAAAAATTATTAACTTCGGCAAAATAAAGTACAACAAATTTTAGAAATTTAGGAAAACCAACAATTAAATATCTTTCGCGAAAAAATAACACGAAATAGGAATAATAGAGCATGGAAGAAGCATTAAATTATACAATACATCAAAACTACACACACATAGTATAAACATAAATTATACACGAATATGTTAAGTTTGTAACATTCCGAATTTTAGGGGAGACAAATTTTGTCTCGCTGTCTTACTATAGCCGCCAGAATACATCTAACGAGTATGAAACGCGTGAAAGACAAATGTGCAAATCGAAAGAATGAAAGGGAAAATCGACGGCAAGTGCAGCGATTAAAGCGAGCATTTCTAATTCGAGGCATTCGACGGGGCGGTTTTCAGGGGCGGTTTTCAGACGCACTCGCCGTGGACGCGTGGAAAGCGTTGGCTGAATATCGTGGACAGGGCTTTAAAAGCGTCCCGTCGACCGGTTGCGCGGCGTCGCGACACTTACGTAAGCGTAATCGACGTTTTTACCGTTTCGGTTCCGCTTTACTGTAATTTTCGTCCGCGACTCGACGGTAAATACCAACGCAAATACGGCAGAGTCGTGGCACATAACTCTCCGCGAGGGGTGCAATCGGCGAGAGGGTATTGAAATCGCGCGTAATGAATCTTTCAACGGTGTTACCGAAATTTTTTAATACACTCTACTATACTTACTACTCGATAACGTTGTTTGAGTATACTCAAATATACTCAACCATAATTACTATTCAATAAAGTAGTTTGAGTATACTCAAATATACTCAACCATAATAATTACTATTCAATAAAGTAGTTTGAGTATACTGGAATATACTCAACCATAATAATTACTATTCGATAAAGTAGTTTTAGTATACTCAGATATATTCAACTATATTTATTACTCGATAAAGTTGTTTGAGTATATTCAAATATACTCACTACTCAATAAAGAAGTTGGAGTACACTCAAATGTACTCGATTATACTTACTACTAGATAAAGAAGTTGGAGTATACTCAAATATACTCAGCTATACTCACTACTCAATAAAGTAGTTCCAGTATACTCAAACATACTCAGCTATACTCACTACTGAATAAAGTAGTTTGAGTATACTCAAATATATTCAACTATACTTACTACTCGATAAAGTTGTCTAAGTAAACTCAAACATACTCACTACTCAATAAAGTTGTTTGATTATACTCAAATATATTCAACTATACTTACTACTCGATAAAGTTGTTCGAGTATACTCAAATATACTCAGCTATACTTACTACTCAATGAAGTAGTTTGAATATACTCAAATAGACAACTATACTAATTATACGTACTACTCAACTTCGAGACTCGGAGGAAACATGGAAACGTGATGGCGCGCGATTCAAATACACAGGGAAACGATGTTCGTGCCACCTGGTGAGAAAATCGGTCAGCAGCGGAATATTGATCTTGTAGATACTGTTGCTGAATGATATTGAAATTCGAATGAAATTGGTAGATTTGGAATTGTGATTAAGTCATCTAAGGAAAGATTTAGCTTCGGAGGAGGAAAAGTTGCAGGAGAAATAAGAAAAAGCTCAGTTTTCATGAGCTCAAAAGTGAAATAATTTTTAAACTCCCCAGGAAAAGAAAGTTTGAAGTTTTTAACCTGGAGCTTTTAAGATCAAATTTTGTTTCAAGCTCCCCGCGAAAACCGAGGCTTTGCTTTGACCTTTGGTATTCAAGATTGAACATCTTTTAAGTTTCTTGCAGAAAGTGAGCTTTCGTTTTGACCTTTAGCATTCAAGGCTGAATTTCTCTTAAGTTCTCCGCGAAAAGTGAGCTTCAGGCTTGACCCTGAGCTTCCAAGGTTAAATATTATTGTAGCTCTTCATTACGCGTTGAGCTTTCGGTTTGACATTGAGCATTGAAGATCAAATACATTTTAACGTTAAGAGCTTAACATTAAACCTACCAGCATCTAAACGATGGTTTTAAAATTTTTAATTAAAAATTTCGCATTCAACATTGTCACCTTGGTCACTTTTCTTCGCGATTTTTCTTTTAATACAGGTGTAATCATTTTCTCGATACCTCCTCGCGTTCCATTTTCTTGAAACTTTCAAACTCTTATTTTATTTCTTCGTCTACCTGTCATTTCATCGATCATGGTGGCTTTAATGTTAAGCTCCATACGAAATCCGTGCTGGAGGTTTAATTTTCATTTTTCAATATCGACCGCTGTCCATCTGCATCATTCGTCATTCCCGAAATGAGAGAATTCGAGTTTCTACATAATTCAATCCTCTCGTGCAAAACAAACTTTTAGACAATAGTATCACGAGCTGTCCCTTGTACATGTTTTTCGTCTACATTACCGATCCCCGTCTGCCGATTTCCCTCGACAAATATTCCTCGTCATTAACAGTATCGAATCGCGCCGATATTATCGAATTTATCATACAATTAATCTACGATAATCGCATTCATCGGTTTCACCGTGTATCCAGGTAGAAATATCCTTCGAGCATCGGCCGTCTCCCTGATTATCCGCGATAATTGGCGAATTGGAAACACACTTTCGTCGGTCGGCGTCGCAATGATGGGAGCGTCGCACCGCGAACAAAGGGCGCGTCGCGAATAAATTCGTGAAACGTGGCGCGCGAAATAAAAAATAGCGAAAAAGAAGGAGAATAAAAAAAAGGGAGGAAAATGGAAAAAAGGGCGAGGAGTTAAAAACGCGAGGAAAAAATGAAACGACAACGATACGAAGGGAGAGCAGAGCTCAGCAACCGTGGCAGCGAAATCAATTTACAGAGGATTTAATGCATCATCGCGAGGAACCTCCGCCACGTGAAGTTGACGAACAACTTTCAGAACTCATTATCGAACTCATTACTGCA